CAGTTATGAATATACCCAACACGGAATAAAAAATACATGTTATCACTCCGGTGGTGTAGTGTAGTGATTGCTTCTCACTCCAAAGGGCCTGCGCTCAATCCCAGTCGATGCCGTCGGGATTTTCTGAGGCATAAAATCTCTGATGAGTTGATGGGACGATAGGTACACTCTAAGCTACGATTACCTAAAATTATCGGTATTTTCTACCAATAAAAATTACTATAAATTAGGTAATTTTTAACGTTAATTATTGGTAATCCATGATTACCGATAATTTAGGTATGTGCACTTTCTTCGATTATCGGTAATTTTTATCGATATCTAGGTATTCTTTACCGACTTTAAGGTATGTGCATCTTAGCGTGTAGGGTCCAGTTTTGGGAGCTACCTCCCTGGCGTCGGTAACATTGGTACTCAATAAGGAACGAAAGATCGACGGAAAACACATCAAGGAATAAAAAATCACTCCATAGTTTGTGCATAGAAAAAGGGAGTCCAAGATTTGCTAAATGATGAAGACGGCAATTATATTGATGATGATATTTTTTGCTCTATTATAGAGACTTTCAGCCTAAGGCTTGTTGTCTTCCATGATGATTTTGTTAACACCAATTTCGGTTGTACTCACTGGTTTTGGAAAGTCTAATGAAGTGTGGTTTACAGATTTGGTATGGAGAAAGCAACTTAAGATTAAAATTCAATTCCAAACCATTTTCTTTTCTGTGTCACCAATGTGTTTTTATGTTAGGGGAAATATCGGTTTCGGCAAAACCCTAACATATTATTGTCAGGAGAGTAAACAAAGTTCTAGAGCAATCAAATTTGGCCAATAGATGCTCTGAAACACAATGTATCCACATGCCAAAATTGAGCTCTCAAGAATGTTGTTTACCCCCCTGACGATAATATAATACGGTATTTCCGAAGTCGCCATTTACCCTATTTTATAAATGAAGTTTACGATTTTCAGAGTTTTTGGAAATGCTATCTAACATGAAGATTTAGTGTAATAATTTATTAGCCTGTAGATTTGAAAAAAACTCTTCAAGTCTCCTCATCCATTAATGTATGAGTTGGGTAAAGTAATGTTCGTTTAAATAGTACTGTCGCATTAGTGGCCCTTCGTTCATTTTTAACTTCTATTTTCTATTCAATTTTCATCCTGCCGTACTCTAGCGGACCTTTCTCTAGCTAATATATTATCACACTAAAACTTCATATTAGATAGCATTTCCAACCATGAAATCATCCAATAAATTAATGGTGATTAAAATTGAACAACTGTCACTCATTTACTGTTGTGTTACTACAACACTATTGAGAAATTATGAAGTATTCGGTTTTGTTGCGGTTGTCATTGCCTTTATCGCAAGGAACTGATTCTTACCAACTTTACTATAAACAATGTTTTTTTGGAATTATGAAATCATTTTTTTTTTATAATGATATGATGTACTTATGAATTACAAGAAGATGTTGTAAAGTATGTGTTTGACTTATAAAACCTGTCATTATAGCTTTCAAGTTGACAGGTTTTATGTATCACAAACATACTTCACATTCACAATTTCTAAATGTAACATATAAGTACAAAATATGAGAGTGAGTGGAAGCAACCTTGGTTCCGCGGCTCCACTATTTACACACTTCGAAGACTGAGAGTACCATCCAAAGGCGCGCCTTTTTGTTAGTCAAAATCAGATTCCTTAGCAACAAAATTAAGCAATGGCACCGATAATGACCATGGATCAGAACCTAGTCTTAACCACTAGAGAACAGCAAATATAAGCTTAGGAATCACATATATGAAGATTAACCCATATTTTCCTTCCTTCCTTCTTCCAGCTCATCCACGGTGTAGCAATCCGAGTCCTGTGTTTGAAAAATATTGCTCAAATCTCATTCACTGAGCCTTCCTGAAAGAATAAATCCGCGTACAAATTTGGCAAACACAGATTCTCATGCATTTGCACGCATTCACACTCACCACGCCAAGAATTTATTTCTGCTTAAAACTCATAAAATACGCTCCAACTTCAATTTATAGCATGCTCATGCATGTTGAGTTAGTTTCAATATAGTAATATCAATGAATATCGCGAACATCTAAGGCAATGATTATTTTAAAACTCAACGGTGATTGTTGTACAGTTGAATTTTGCAAAGCAGAACTTATAGGTAGATGAGATTTTAATTTTTAAGTTTTTCCGAAAAATGGTCACTATTAACAAGGCATAAAAAGTAACAAGGACTGAGATGTCTTCTTTTTATTACTGAAAAATTCTGATCCACTAGTTTGAAGTAGTCAAGGCTAGGGTTCGGCGGTAGTTCTTACATCGTAACGCACCAGGAAGAGGTGATCAACCTGCGTTATGTGGGAACTTAATGAATGATGAAATGGGGCTTATTGATCAGTTTTAAGATCAAAGTTCCATTTAATTTTATTTAAGGTATTGCTCTTCGTAATGCTGGTATATTGAAACAAGTAATTGACGAGACAATGCATCATCAAAGCACTTCCTTTATAAGTAAACGGTGAGAAGAGCAACCCTTTAGACCATTACATTGCAAATAATTTGAAAAGTTTGATATTGAAGAAGGTATGGAAAAAATCAAGACCAGGATGAACACATCATAAAATTATTCTATTTAACGCTCTCTTTTCAGCCATGGAATTTTCATGGACTAGCCTGGGGATCTTTACGGGATTAACCTCCTTAACCTTTTAAATCCTTTGGCGCTGGTCTAGAAAATCTTTGGGGTTGGAAATTAAAACATAAATTACATACGCTTGCCACACAATATAAAAATTTACGCATAGAACGCTCTTAATTAATAATGGAAGTGTAACGTTGAGTAATAACTATTAATGAACAATTAACAACCATGTAACACCTCACCTTAGTGGCAAAATGCTAGCATGAGAAACGTCAAGGGAGGGAAAAAATATATCTTTTGTTCAAAAAATTTAGAGCATCTTGCATTTCTCATTTGTTTGTTCCTCTACGGGTTTTTGAGGACACTTTCTATTTAAGCCGCAACATTCTGGAGCAGACATACACTGTAACGATGAAAATGACAACATAATGCTCCCAACTGAAGAGCAGCACGACAGTAGAAGAGAGAACACTGAGCATAGAGTGATGTTGGCCACCCAGCTGTGTTTAGCTGACTCCCGCAAAATAGCCCTGTCGTGAGCGAATACAGCTACATAGGTGCTCGATAGAAGAAGAGCAAGTTAGAAAAACGAAGGCGGCTATGGTGAGCGAGCATAGCAACCGTCACGAAGGCGACGCAGCAGAGCAGTAGTGCGAGGATTCAGGTACACTGAAAATCTTTTTTTGTTAATTCTCTAACGCTCTTTTCGTTAAAGCTAATTTCGTTGATTGTGCGCATTTTTTTTCGTAACTTGTGCGAAATACCGTGCCGATTCAAATTTCGGACACTTAAACTCGAATTTCGGACACTTTTAAAAGTTGATTATCTCGGTCGAATACGATCCACATGTCTTGTAAATTTTAAATTTTTTTGACTAGTGCCCTCCACGATCATCTAACATTATTACTTTGTTTCTAACTGGATGTAATATTTAATTAAAAATGAAAGTGTCCGAAATTTGAATCGGAACGGTATTCGTAAAGCATGTCGTCAGATACAATATCAATATTACACCTAATTCGTAAACTATATGAATTGAGTTTCGTGAATACTAGAAATCCTCAGAGGAATCGTACATCGAATCGAAAAGAAAAGTCATGTGAAATGCTAACTTCCAGCAAGGGTTGCAAGATAATTTTCATACAAAACCCTGCTGCAGAATTTTATTGTTTTCTGATAATGTGGAGTGCAAAACAGAAGATAACAAACAGAAAAATAGTCGAGTATGTCTAATACTCAGTGTCTAACTGAAGAAGTCTGCACATTGTAAACGAAATACGCGTATCTGCCAATGACGTTAAAACGTTACATACAACGATTGTCCCGAAATCGATCTAGTTTTTCGTCTAATTCATATTTATTTTATGAAAAATTTGTTCCTTTTTCGTAAAATACAAGAATAATACAAGGTACAGAAATCCTCCGAATAGCCGTCCACCCACCGCAATTTCTCGACTGTCATCCATCCAATTGAGCTGATTTTTGTATATGATTAGGGTCATCCATAAACTTTTTACCTACAGAAAATCAGCTCAATTGGATGGAAGACAAACAAGAAATCCATCCATCCATCTCCAATTCGGGAGATTCCGGTTAACGATTTTGGAAATTTAGCCGGAATAGCGATTGAATTCGTGGGATGTGTTTTGTTGTATTAAACAAATTTTATTTTAGTGTATCCATGAATCACAAAGAAGCTACATATAAAATATGTTCACAATACATAATCAGGATGCAATAACCAGATCTACCTCAGGTTACACTCTGAGTCAGCATGTTTCAAAATAAATCATGTTATTTGATTGATTTTCAAGAGAAAGCTCTTCCTTCCTTCATTGATGAAGTGCAATTAATTATTCAAGAGATTAGCTGAAATGTATACGATTCGCAGATTTGTAACATTTGGTAAATGCCACCCTATCTACCCTGGAGACCAGTTTCGACGTAATAAAATGTATTGGTCGGCTGAGTTATGTAGCTGCCAATAAATCATTCGAAACTAATAAAAGACGTTGTTAACTGTATCGAGGTAAAAAAAAATAAAGCGTTTGACTGTCGAAAATACTCCCCATAAGAGCACTCTAAACAATCAAAACAAATGTTTCAATGTGTTCCGTCACATTTATGGAATTAAGGAATTTGAAATGCAATTTTTCACAGAATGCCCACCAATAAGCATCAATACAGCTAATCGAGCAATTAAGATACAAAATCAATCACATTTGTCCGCACATAACTGCACTCAGCATGACCAAATAAGGTGTTCACGCTACAATAGAGGATGTCAATAGCCCTGTAGTGCAACAATGATTTCTAATGCAGTTTCAGTTCCTCACACTTACCGGTTTCGTTTGTCTGCGAGTTCTCAGTTTCTGCACTTCTACTTTGCTGATGTTTGCTGCTTATTCAGTTGGTAGTCGAGGTAAATCCTCTTTCACAAATGGAACGATGTCGATCACTTATTTTTCTGTGTGGCTATTTCGCTTTATGCAGTGGTTCGAGTAAATATTCCGTTTCTTTATCGCTCTTCAACAGTATTTTCTTCGTTCAACAGCACAATCTTTGCAAAGTATTATCTTGTAGCGATGGCGTTTTTCGGCTCAAAACTACTATCAGACACTCTTTTATATCAACTTCTCTTAGTGGGTTTCCGAAAATGATTATATTTTATATCCTTTTGCTTTTTCCTTCGCACTGTCGAAATACCCGTAAACTTTCGTAAAACTACCAATTACACGTTTTATATCTCTTTTGGACAACTGACTTCGACAAAAATTGCGTTTTTTTTTCGTTTCTGATTGGCTGCAGTTAACGGATCCCGAACGATGGTTATTATTTTTTCACCAAAAAACTTTCTTCACTGCTTTTCGACAAAGAATGGACAAAGGACCGGTACTTCACACGACACTAAGGTAAAAACGATGTGCTCAACTTCACGGACAGAGTTGGAATGAAGCTAGTCTAGAAAAAATGTTGTAACGCCGCTACGGCAAAAATAATATTGTTTGATGTTTAAAATTTGTAGATATATTTAACATGGTTCACCGTTCAAAGCGACTGGAGAAATGAGCAAAAGAGCGAATGCATCGAGTGAGCTTGCAAGTGGTAACATTGATGTTGATTATGATTGAGAGGAAAACTGAGCATGAAGAGCACAGACTGAGAATGAGAGAGGAGAGCACACTAAAAAACTCACCGATCGTGTCCGGAAAAGATGGTGGAATTAGTTGTGTGGCGCAATAACCGTCGATCAAGTTCAAGTGTAGAAGGAAAAGCGACGAAGAAAGATCCCCGGCGTCACAAGAAGTTATCATACACATAGCGCGCAACAAAGCCGTGATGATGATTTGTTTTGCCTTTAGAAGGGATCGATAATGAAGAGCATATTTTTACAGTGCACATTACAATCGATTGTTATTTAAAATATTACACTTGCTGAAGCTGATTTCAAACATTCAGTTTTATACATGATAATGATTATTTTTTGTATTATTTATCATTTACTAATTGCCATTTTAACTTCGGCATTTTTCCAAATGATATAAGATTTATCATGATGAGATTGAATGGGGGTTATTCCGAGAGTCGAAGTGACTTTTGTCAATAGTGAAGTGAGAAAAGTCACGTCTTGGTGACGTGACTCACTGTTCAAATCAAATGGAGAGTCACGTCAACCACGACGTTACTTTTCTCACTTCACTTGTGACAAAAGTCACTTCGACTCTCGTAATAACCCCCAATAATTTAGCAAAAATAGAAATGTAAATAAGCCTCAATATTCGCCGCCACGAGTGAGGTGAGGTGGCTCGCTATCGCTAGTGTGATGACAATAGTCACCTCATATGAGGAGACTCTCCGTGCAAATCAAATGTAGTCACCTTATCTCACTCGCGATGCAGGATAGGCCTCTTTATGTACTCATTTGATTAAGTGTTGGAATTATATCGCTTCATAACCAATAGCTTCTAATCTATTTCTCTGTTCGAGGTGATGAGAGTTACTCAATCGAATCGCACGATATCCTTGTTATTATTTTCTTCTTCTTCATCATCCTGCCTCATTATGTGTATTGCTACTGGAACTGACGCCTACTTTAAATATGTTATTTGAATGCTATAATCCCACAATTGTTATATGAGAGCCTTCGTAGTATACACTAGTGGAAATTAATAAAAGAACACTTTAAAAGCATGTCTCATCCCAATTTTTAGAATCAGATAAATACAAGGACGTAGCCAGGTTTCGAGCTAGAGAGAGATGAAAAAAATCTATGGAAAGTTTGGCCGAATGCCATTTCACCGAACGGTTTTTCACCGGAAGCCTTTGTGTTGCTGGGTTTAGGGGGGAAGTTGCCCCGCCCCTGCCCTCCTTTGGCTACGTCTATGAATAAATACGAAATCATTTGTTTTGAAAAGCCACAATATCATGCTACAATATGTGCTCAAGAACGAACTAATTGTATAATGTACGTAGAAGAAAGAAAAGGAAATGTGATTTTTTCCTTCGGAAATAAAGATAAGGACGCCATACAAAACGGTATGGGAAATTGATCATGTTTCAAGCATGATTTAGTATGTCAAAAAATACGGTGGTACCGAAATAATCAAAGAGCTAATTCAAATAATAATTAAACTTACGAAGTTTCACGGAAGAAGTTCTCAAAATACATGAACTTTTTTGGTTGATCATCGATGATCACTTAGGAGAAATATACTTTTAGGTGTTTCCCGTCAGTCCACATCGTGTTCTTTTGCTGTGCGGATCTATTTCAATTTAGCTAAAGGGCTACTACCTAAAAAAATTAAACAGAACTTCTCTGTGCTAAATATTACCTACACATTTTCAACCATATTCCATTCTCATTCCTCTTCGATCCTTATTTAGACCCTTCGGATAATCCAGCAATTTGGAATGTTCCTCTTCGATTGATTTATTTCGGATCTTTCGGATGCTTATAGTAATCTGCTTGGAAGTCGATTTTAAGAAACTTTCTTCTGCTGCCATGGTGCCTAAACGCAAAGGAAAAGGGAAATCTCTTGATCCACCTTCTCATGAAATTTATTTGAGTAATCAATTTGATGTAAGAATGATCTATCAACATCCAGGTGAAATTCGAATAAACTTTACCGGCTTAATTACAACAAGGAAAAGTTTCCCCTATTGTGGTCACGACTTCCGATTTCGATGCTCTTCGCAAGGAACTTTTGAACTTCGTTAATGAATTCAAGTTTTCACTTCAAACAAAAACGAGCAATCTAAAACCATGGTCGATTTTAAACGTTGAACATTTAAAACCGATTTTAAAAGTCTTCTCAAGTATCTTCCTGACAATATACACATTTTTTTTACTTACGACACAAAAATAGTACGTCTGCTCAAGGTTGTCTGGAAAGGTCTGCCCAGTGGTGAATCCCTAGATCAGATCAAAAATGAATTGACACATTTACTTGGAATCAAGCCAGTGAAAGCAATTAAAATGAAGAAAATCCCGTCCTGGTGATTCGCACAACGGGATTTCTAATAATTTTTATTCAGTACACTTCAAGTCAAGCGAGTTAAACAACCTTGAGGCCATAGAAAAAAAACATGTCTTATGCTCCATGTCCGAGTGAAGTTCAGGGACAGGAGGAAGTTTCAAAAAACTATTCGATTACCACGAATAAAAAAATAATTACCACTACGCCAGGGCTGCCTTTGTAATAATTATAATCATTTAGTTTTATTCCATGAACATTCTTTTCATAGTTTTAGATGAATAGTACAACATATTTATTTATAATGTTGTGGATACCTACAAAGTTTATACCATTGAAGACAAAGAAAGCCCCTCACATTATCCGTGTTAAATACACTGCAATTACAGTTGGTTTTTTATCGTGGTTTATCATTATCACCATCAGCACTAGCACTGAGGGCGTTCAGCTATCAAATCGATCATGGTCGAGCTAAGAGCATCATCATCAGTGCGCGTTTGATTTGGCCTTTTTGTGTTGTATTTTTACGATTTCGACTATAAATATTCAGCAGTGAAAAGTGAGTAAAATCTGGAACAAACCATCAATGTGCAATTAGGCGGTTGAAGCTTAGTAGTCATTAAATTGAATTATACTTTTTCGAAACGCGATTTCTTATCATCAATCGAAAATCTAATATTTTTAGAGAAAATGACACACAGCATGAATGTGTCAATATGTAAGTGGGACAAATTAATACCTGCAACCAACAGGTGTGATGAAAGATTTGCCGCAAGTTTAGGCATATGGTCGTAAGGCAATCTAAAACACTCAGATTAACAAGGATTAAGTAAATGTATCGTTTCTAAATGTACCATAGATTTTCAGTGTAGGAGGATGCTTCTTATTAAGACATTTTGGAAGTGCAACAAGATTTATGGAAAGAAAATGTTAACATAGAAATTTAATTTTTATATAAAGAAAGGCTCTAAGGGAAGATGCATGAATGACGTAGCATTTCAGGGTGACCAGCCATGTACGCAGCTTCAAGCGGGAGGGGGATAGAAGTTGCTGCTACATGAAACGTAAACAAACGTTAAACGTTTGAACTTTGGACCTCCTTCCCATTATAATGTATTTTTCTACAGGAAAAACAAAATTCTACGTCATTTATGCATGATCCTTAATTGGGCCCATTTATAAAAATCTCCATTTATTGTCAATTTTCCATACATCAATGCGTCATCTAGGCAATTAAAATGAATACTGTTTGTTTGCTAAAGAAAAAGATGGTTAAAAATCCATTAGTTATGATTTTATGCCTAATATAAGGGACACTTAGGCCAACATTACCGTCATCAACCCTATGAAGAATATCAACATGGTAAACATATAAATGAAATCTTAAGAATTCACATCTTGCACTGAAATTGATTAAAAATTAGCAATAAACCAACTAATTCCTTGTCAAATTTAATAAATTATTGTTTAATAGCAACTTAAAGAAATATAGTTTCAGTAAGAAATGCCTGGCATGTAAGAAGATTACAACTTGAAACTTAACCGACGTGAACTAGTACAGATCATACAGATGTTATTTTCCCAAGTATGAATGAAGTTTCCGTTCCGGTTAAATTACCTATTCGACCTAGTGCATCCTTCAGCCGAATCTCATTTGGCTTAATAGCGTTCGCCATAATTTCGTTCAGCTTAATTCTCAAACATTAAAAAATTGGCCTTTCCCCTTTTCGAAAGCTGGCTTTGAATTAGACCAAGATTATTGAAATTTTTATTTTTTTTCCTTGATTTGTTTTCCATCGATCTTGTTTTCCGTGCTGAGCATCAATGCTACCGATTATGCAATGTTTCATATAAAGCCGAGAAGGTTGAGTCATTTTTTTTTGCTGTTTGGCCTGTAACTTCTCTTAACTAGGTCAAATGAGTCATGACCTAGTGACAACTTCAAACTAATAGCGTACAGCTTAATGGAATTCAGCCTCTTTGTATCTGACCTAATCATCCATCGTTAATCAAATGTCGCTTACTTTAATTACAGACAAACAGACATAACTCTTAGAAGAAAATTCTTCAAAAAATATCGTCAAGCGTATTTTGCATGCGCACTAGCACCATCTATCATCCACATTCCCAAGCATTGATGTGCAACTAGAGCATCCCTCGTTCATGCCATTTTTTCACTAGTTGCTTTTCCCTCGTTCTGTCAACGCGTCAGCTGTATTTAATAAAAACAAAACAGATGGAAGTCAGTGATGTCGGTTCTATTAAATTTTCCGTAGATCTATAGAATTGATTGAATTCTGCAGAAATACGGATCCATAGGAAAAATTCACAGAAGCTAAGACTTTTTTTAGGGATTTGTTTTGTTTGTTTCGTGTGCTTTTTCTTTTGCTGGAAACAAGTTTTTAAACGAGGTTATGCATCACTAATTAGTGCCATTTCTACCACCGCTCATCACTTTAATGTGTATACAGCAAAAAAATATAATATGTATCAATCATTGAAATTCATGGTGAAGTATTGAACATCAATAACTTGGGTATAAGTTGATATAATATTACATACA